TGTGGAATCAAAAAAAAAATAATTTATTACATAAATAAACTTGTTTTTCCGCTAAAACGGAATAGATGTTTCTTAATATCACCTATTACATTCTTTGTTGTTAACTTAAAAATAATTTTAACATTTTGTAAATTGTTAAGACTGATTTTGTACTGTAGTTAAAAACGATTTTTTTTAATAAATACATCGAAACGGTGCTTCACGTATTATTGTTGTTATTGGGTGTGCAAATTTTTTTACAATAATTTGGTAAATGTTTTTATAGTCATTGTTTGATACTGAAATATATCACTTAAATTTCAGCTTCCTGTGAAATATTCTTTATGTAAGTGTAAACAAAGAAAAATACTTTTTAATGTTTCAGAAAGAATTTAATATTGGGAATTTTAGAAGATTTTTTGTAGAGTTTCCAATATATTAAAGCAAATTAATTTTTGAATTAATTACTTCTGTAGATAACCTCAAACGATCAATGGCACGTGTCCGGGTTGGATTCCTGGATTTCCTAATTAATTTGAGGTTATCTGTAGTGGTAAAAATTAATTCAAAAATTAATTCGCTTTAATTTAATACTGACTAAATATACAATTATTATACTCATCATTTATGATTACCACGTACTTACGCTTTTTACTTTTTAAAACATTACGCTTGCTTTATTTCGAGTTATTTAGACTTTTGATTTGGAGATTAAGTTTAGTTGCCTTTGGGAAAGTTACTTTGAAAAATGGCGATATAAGGTACCTATACTACTGAGCTTTCAATGAAGACAAGTTTGGTAAAAATAATCCAAACAGCTTGTCGTTTTTAGAATTGCATTATGTCAGGATAATCCGAACAAAAAGTTGACATACGACCCTGTTCGTATTACATTTTAAGCATTCGAACTATGAAACTTGGTAATAAAATCAATTATCCAAACCATTGACCATAGGTAGCTTTTCAATTCAACTAAGCAGACTATAGGATATGCAATAGTTGTAGAAATTATGTTTATTAATAACGTGGTGAACGCCATATGTATCACCTACTAATTGTGAATTTATTAATGTTTCACAAGGCCCTTTTCGATAAACATAACGTTGGTGTTTACACAAAATTAGTATAAGTTCTTGATCAATCATTGGTCGAAACCGTCAAGACGTAGAGCACGATTTAAAGTCTTTTAGACATATCTGACCAATTAACTTATTACCTTTAAACAGCCAACAGCTGGATGTTTAATGGCAGCAAGTAAACTGGTCGGTATTCAAACTGTCTACGGCGGTGTACTGATGAGAACTAACGAGTACGAAATCGCGAACGATGTTCAATAGATCACCAACAAGAACAATTGTGCTACTTTTTCGTTACTTCCATAATTAGTTTTTAATTTTATAATTTTGTGTTGCAGGTGACCTATCTTGAACGGGAGAGTGGTAAGTAAAATCGTAACCTATTTTCTCAACAGTACAATTTTACATTAAAAGTTGTGGGGTGTGCAACATTTTACGAACATACTTTTAGTAAATCATCATCATCATCGTCTTCAGGTTGTCAATCCTAAGACTGGTTAGACATACACCTAAACTCTTTCCTATCCTGTGTTAATCTTTGCATTTCCCTAAAACTAGAACATCCCACATCCTTAACTATTTGCGAACAGTAATCTAACCTAGGTCTACCTCTACCCCACTTTACTCCTGTTTCTGCCTCTAATATGTCTCTGGACAGCCCTTCATAAAATAATAAATACATACATTTTTTGCTGTTAAAAAGATGATGATGATGATATATGCATTGTTTTTAAAATTACAGTTTAAATTTAATGGAAATCATTTTAAAAATTTAATCCTAGGCGGTGGCGTTACTATTCTCTCTAAGGCCCGTGGCATATTTATCCGATGGAACCCACCCTTAATACAAAAAATCTTAATATTAATATTATAGATATATTTTAAACGTTTACGCGAGACCCGAATAAATTTCGTAAAAAGTTAGTCGTCCTTAAAAAATATAAAACGGGGATTTCCGGAGTAGTTTTAAATATTTTAATATGATACATATATATCATGAACTAATTGTAAATAAATTCAAAACAAAAAAAGAAAAAGAAAATTAAAATAAAAGAAAATTCCTGGTTGTTTTAAACAGTTCTGTAACCGCATTTTCAAACACAACATTGCGACAATGCTGGGATTATTTTCGTAAAGGACTCTGGTTACGTAGCAAATTCTTTTTAAGATTTGCATATACTTATCAACTGAAGGTATATTTTTGTCGTGTCAATTGTTACTCGAGCAGGGCAGGTAAACTAAAAATGTACGTTCGCAGCAGTTACTTATTTCTATTTACTTTAACTATTTTCAATCTAAAAAAAAAAGTGAAAATGAAGAGACGAGACAAGGTAACCTTCAAACAACATGTACGAATGCAACGTGCCAACAAAACAGAAGAAATGAACAAATGAGATTTTTTTTGTAATTCCGTCATAATATCAAAAAAAAATCAAGTTTTCGTTACAAATTACTTATCGATTATCCTACAATTGTTTCGTCCCTCCAGTGTTTCTTAAGGAGTAATAAATAATGAATTATTGATATTAAATGAACTATCTCGTTTCTTTCGTCAATCGACCGAACAATAAAATTATAGAATCTTCTCACTTTATTCTTTCAAATTAATTTTAATATAACCAATTTGTGGNTTTTCGTTACAAATTACTTATCGATTATCCTACAATTGTTTCGTCCCTCCAGTGTTTCTTAAGGAGTAATAAATAATGAATTATTGTGGAATCAAAAAAAAAATAATTTATTACATAAATAAACTTGTTTTTCCGCTAAAACGGAATAGATGTTTCTTAATATCACCTATTACATTCTTTGTTGTTAACTTAAAAATAATTTTAACATTTTGTAAATTGTTAAGACTGATTTTGTACTGTAGTTAAAAACGATTTTTTTTAATAAATACATCGAAACGGTGCTTCACGTATTATTGTTGTTATTGGGTGTGCAAATTTTTTTACAATAATTTGGTAAATGTTTTTATAGTCATTGTTTGATACTGAAATATATCACTTAAATTTCAGCTTCCTGTGAAATATTCTTTATGTAAGTGTAAACAAAGAAAAATACTTTTTAATGTTTCAGAAAGAATTTAATATTGGGAATTTTAGAAGATTTTTTGTAGAGTTTCCAATATATTAAAGCAAATTAATTTTTGAATTAATTACTTCTGTAGATAACCTCAAACGATCAATGGCACGTGTCCGGGTTGGATTCCTGGATTTCCTAATTAATTTGAGGTTATCTGTAGTGGTAAAAATTAATTCAAAAATTAATTCGCTTTAATTTAATACTGACTAAATATACAATTATTATACTCATCATTTATGATTACCACGTACTTACGCTTTTTACTTTTTAAAACATTACGCTTGCTTTATTTCGAGTTATTTAGACTTTTGATTTGGAGATTAAGTTTAGTTGCCTTTGGGAAAGTTACTTTGAAAAATGGCGATATAAGGTACCTATACTACTGAGCTTTCAATGAAGACAAGTTTGGTAAAAATAATCCAAACAGCTTGTCGTTTTTAGAATTGCATTATGTCAGGATAATCCGAACAAAAAGTTGACATACGACCCTGTTCGTATTACATTTTAAGCATTCGAACTATGAAACTTGGTAATAAAATCAATTATCCAAACCATTGACCATAGGTAGCTTTTCAATTCAACTAAGCAGACTATAGGATATGCAATAGTTGTAGAAATTATGTTTATTAATAACGTGGTGAACGCCATATGTATCACCTACTAATTGTGAATTTATTAATGTTTCACAAGGCCCTTTTCGATAAACATAACGTTGGTGTTTACACAAAATTAGTATAAGTTCTTGATCAATCATTGGTCGAAACCGTCAAGACGTAGAGCACGATTTAAAGTCTTTTAGACATATCTGACCAATTAACTTATTACCTTTAAACAGCCAACAGCTGGATGTTTAATGGCAGCAAGTAAACTGGTCGGTATTCAAACTGTCTACGGCGGTGTACTGATGAGAACTAACGAGTACGAAATCGCGAACGATGTTCAATAGATCACCAACAAGAACAATTGTGCTACTTTTTCGTTACTTCCATAATTAGTTTTTAATTTTATAATTTTGTGTTGCAGGTGACCTATCTTGAACGGGAGAGTGGTAAGTAAAATCGTAACCTATTTTCTCAACAGTACAATTTTACATTAAAAGTTGTGGGGTGTGCAACATTTTACGAACATACTTTTAGTAAATCATCATCATCATCGTCTTCAGGTTGTCAATCCTAAGACTGGTTAGACATACACCTAAACTCTTTCCTATCCTGTGTTAATCTTTGCATTTCCCTAAAACTAGAACATCCCACATCCTTAACTATTTGCGAACAGTAATCTAACCTAGGTCTACCTCTACCCCACTTTACTCCTGTTTCTGCCTCTAATATGTCTCTGGACAGCCCTTCATAAAATAATAAATACATACATTTTTTGCTGTTAAAAAGATGATGATGATGATATATGCATTGTTTTTAAAATTACAGTTTAAATTTAATGGAAATCATTTTAAAAATTTAATCCTAGGCGGTGGCGTTACTATTCTCTCTAAGGCCCGTGGCATATTTATCCGATGGAACCCACCCTTAATACAAAAAATCTTAATATTAATATTATAGATATATTTTAAACGTTTACGCGAGACCCGAATAAATTTCGTAAAAAGTTAGTCGTCCTTAAAAAATATAAAACGGGGATTTCCCTAACATCAATACCCTACACCACCAATGAAGTGCCTAGGCAAAAAAATGAACTTGGCACAAAGGTTGCTGTTTTAAAACTGAACGATATCTTTTTCTTAAGAATCTTCTTTGAAATACGCCACTGATCCTAGGTATAAGTAGACAATGAATGTCTATTATTTCAATTTACCTGTTTTGATAGTAGCAAACTAAATAAGAGAATAATAGGTAATCAACTACTTTGTAAATCGTAATAAAAGTAATATCATGGAGTTGAATGAAACATTTTCACAATTAATCCATATATTATTGTCAGCTCCCGAGTTGAAGTTATTTCGTTGACTTCATAGAAAACGTATAACACGTATCTACGTCTATGAAGGTAGGCTATTCTAATAAGCAGCGCATTCTTCAATCATCGCAATCATGCTTCTTTCCGCCTATTGTACTTGTTAAGGTCAAGTTCAATGCACTTTTACGAAATGCTGTTTTTCTCAGATGCTTCTGAATCCACGCAACATACACACGCAAACGAGCGCGTTTTCATACACATACATACGAATACATACATCCAAGCAAATAATGTAGCGTATATAAACATTTTCGTGAATGTACCCTACGTGACTGTATCACTTAGCATTAGTTGCGCATATGTATATATATATACATATATATACGCATACACACGCGTTTTGAACTAACCTAACTGTAACTACAAGTTTTCAACTATTAGTTTGTGGTAAGGTGTAACGTCAATGTGCATATGTCGCAGGTATACAGCGAAATTAGGAATTTTATATGTATAAGACCGAGGCTTTTAGAAAATTTATTTATAAATTGGAGAATAGTTTCTGTCTATTATATGAACCTTTGGGAAAATGTTCTTTGAATCGTCCTGATTAAGAGTCTCGATGGCCACAAATCCCAATAATCTTGAGTTTTTAACTTACAGCTGTTCAAACTTACGTAAAATTAAAAAGTCTGTGCGTCTATACTGTACACATATCCATATACATACGTAAGTTTGAGCGTAGATATGTGTATGTCAATGAGAGTATGTATTGCTATTGGACAGCGAATCTCCACTACCCCTAAAATAAAGTAAAATAACAGCAGTTAAATTCGGATTTCTTGGATATGGAGAAAATTGCACGATGTTTAATGAGCCCAAGAAACAGTCGGATTTTCCATATTACACTAAATCCATAATTTCCTCTTTCTCCTGGTACAAGAATGCAGTGAAGGATTCAGGCTATAAGCCCATTCGGTATGACGCCATTTTGATTAGATAATTAATTAATGATTATTAATTATTATTGATAAAAGGAAACTACAGACACATACAATGCAGTCACAAAACAAAAGTGCGGAAAGATTTCTGAAATAATTAAGTATAAATATAATACATATAGTTTGATTTTGGTAAGTCTCATGCATCTCTTCCTTTCTGTCTTCATTTAATGATGATTTCTGATTGACCGACGCAACTGCTCAAATGCATTTCTCATGAGCTTTCCTACTCTATTATCACTGCCCATAATTGTATAACTAGTTTTAACACCCAGAGTACTAAGACAGTCGATAAAAGCCAGGTGTTTTTAATATGCGAAAACGATGAGAAGATCAAACGGTGAAGTAAGTATATCTCGCTTCTAAAATTTTACTGTCTCTAAAATCACTGCACCCATAAAATTTTGCCGCCCGGTTGCCTAAACGCAAATTCAGCACTGCGCCAAAATAGTAGATGGGCTGAGTAAATTTTAACGACCGTTAGTCAAAACTGAGACTTTTCATCAATATATTCAGAGATTCATTAATTCATTTTCTCACAGTTTCATTACGGTCGACCGAAACCCATTTTCTGCTAAAAACTCGTATTATGTAGTGGCTACTACAACCTGCCTAAATTTCGACGGACACTACCGTTGTCTACAATACGTAGCACTTACATTTTAACCTAACAATTCTGTCGACGGGTATTTAACCATTTTTTCTGTCTTCTGACGTCAAAATATTGATGATTTTTAATGACCAAAAATTCCGATAAATAACATCGTGGATATCGAAAGTGAGCCACTTTTTTAATGATTCTATAATACCTGCGATAATCTACAGAATTAACCACTAAGCATTCAACAATGTGATGCTCAAGTAAAGAAAATTTAATTTAACTAAAATTAACTTTTATTTGATATGCTCACCAAAAGCTACCCGGTAATACTAACGATGAAATGTATTCTTCTACTTCAATATTTTTTCGCACTTTACCGGTGTAAAAACGTAAATATGTAGATTAACAGGAAAATATGTACATATTTATATGAATATAAATAATACCAGTTAAACTTACATAGAAAAAAAAAGTAACAGCTTTTTTGTGTTTGTTCCATTTTTATTCTTATATATATATACCTATATATAATTAAATATACCTCCTGTAAATGAGAAATTACTTTCAACAACCGTCANTAAATATACCTCCTGTAAATGAGAAATTACTTTCAACAACCGTCAAAAAAAATTACAACTATAATAATTTTGTCTTTTCTTGTTTGACCTATATTGCTGAAATAAATGCATAGCTCCTCGTGAATTTTTTTTAAAAATAACTCAAATGGGTCAAATCTGACATTTTAATTCCGTCTTGGTACCGTTTTAAAAAAAGTTTAGGAATTTAAGAGCGACAATTATTTTAATAATCTTTAGAAGTACTGAGACGATGAGAGCGTGACGGATGGACGCAAAAATTTATGAATTAATTCTTTTTCGGAAAATAGATAACATTGGAAACATTAGATAAAGAGGTAATTTATAAAAGTTGTTGTGTAATCCTTTTCTAGCAACTCGCATAGTTTTATTAGCATTTTGTTCTTCAGTTCCATAAAATATCGTACATTCAATAAAGTAAAATTCTAAAATTATAAATAATAATTTGAAAACATCTTCAGTTCGTAACTAATCTTGATACTCCTGAAGAATATAAAAATCTTTCGCAAAATCATAGTGGAAAAAAGGATAAGACGCTATAAGCACATGTGTAGGTTATGTTAAAATATTCTGAAAATCGATACGTATAATTTTGTGTAAAGCTGGAAATGATCGTTTTTCTATAGCATTGCGTATATCATGGAAATATGCAAGGCTTTTGACCATCTGGATAACCGCAATCCCACTAAGAATTTTAAACCAAATAAGCCAATTAATATAAATTTTGTTTTGGCTGCAGGTATTTACGTATACCAACACCTAAAATGACCGTTAAAGGGAATCAAATTTTTTGATAATTTTCGTTATGAAAACGTTTTGTTTCAAATATTGAATAGGTACGTTGTTGATGGTTTGATCACTAGTAACCGTATATTAATAAGACATACTTTTTATCATGCATGCAATTTTTGATCCGGAAAAAATTGGAATGTTCCAAAGACTGAATAATCCTATTGAATGAAACATCCCAAAAAAATAAACCTGAAGTATGAAGTTATCCGAATCCAAAAAATTTATTCACGGTTAAAAATTTATTATACTGTATGTAATCATAGAATACATTAGATTCTATTCATATGACTATTCGATTATTGAAAAGATAAATGAATTCAAATTTAATGTTTTCTTTCCTAATAAATGATTTTTATAATGACATATATGTATAGATACCTATATGCTTCTCATCGCCATAAATAATTGAGTTTCAGTATTGAAAACATTATATTCTGGTTTAGGGCAGTTGAATACAGATATTCATATAAATATTTCGAGAAAATTCAAATGAATGTTTGATGAAGTTATTTATTCACGCCCCTATTAGGTAGATGATATGGAAAAAAGTTAAATTGCACGTGTTTCTTTGATTTCACTCACTTTATCTATACTGAAATTATCAGAAATTTTCCAAATATATGGCAGTTATCCTAGACACTGACATAGAGGTCTTTAAAACAAGAACAATGTAATGATGTCGCAATTGTCAACATATTGTAAAAAATTGAAAATAGGAAAAAGAAAAATAACAAAGATAATAACAAGCAGTGACGGGTCCACGGGAGGATGTTCTAGTCGAAGTCCCCCTCTTCTTTGGGATAAGAAAATTTATTTATTTATTCATTTATTTATATTCAATATTTGACATGCATATAGCTTTGAAATTTAAAAGATAAAAGATTATTCGCAAGAAAGACAAAAATTTTTGTGAACCCTTCTCAAAATCCTGAATCCACTCCTGACAGCAAAAGATTCACGCATTTGAGAGAAAGGAAAATTATATAAAAATTACAATATAGAAAAAAAAGGAGTACCTAGGAAAGGACCGAAATCACAAAATCCTTAAAGCAGAACATAAAGGATTATACAATACATAAGAAAATGTTCGGTACAATTGAACCAAAAAAGGGAAAATGAATTTACAATAACCGTGTAGCTGAATTAT